TATTATATGTAGAATCAACATAGGAGACTGTTCCATTTTAAATTTTTGATACAATGACCATCGACATGTAGTAAAGGCATAAAATCCTTGCATGTTCTTTTAGCATCAAGGAAAATTGCAGGCATACTGATATCACATAAGCGTTTTAAGATACATCGAAATTTTTAAGAGTTGCATCAAACTATCTCATGATAGCTTTAACATCTTAAAAAATATAACAATTTTTATTTTGGTTCATTTAAATAAATGCTAAGTTAAAATATGAGAAACCTTTAGAAGCCAAGACAGATAATTTGATAGAAGAAAGATGAACAGATATGTGGCAATTTTAGTGGTTGTGATATGAGAAGCTAAAGTAATTCTTGCGTATGATAATATATATATATATATATATATATATAATGAATATTATTTCCACTTTATTTCATTTTTTTGTAAGACTTTCCATTCCCTATATCAATGTTCTGTCAAATTTGTATCTATGCAGGCTTAATTGATAAATTTATGTTGTGCGGCATTTCATTTTATCTTTTAACAGTGCGATATAATCAACACCGTTAAAAATATACATATGCCCTAGGTATAATAAGTTAAAAAACACATATCAGGAGTCTTTCGGTATTTTTTTTTCAATTAAATCAGATGTGAATTTTATTCGACTTAATGAATCTCTCGAACTACAAAGCCCCTGAGAATTGATTTTGTCAAAATTCTGCTAAGCCTGTGATACGTGAAATGTCAATGCCGTAGAGCAAGCAATCAGTAACAAGTAGTACTTCAAAATGATTGAAATTGGTGCATTTGATCTTTAAGAAAATCCAGCAGCACATTAAGACAGCATCGAAATTTCTCGTAAACTATTTTGGGTTAGCGTGTGGACCATCAGGAGTTTATTCATAAGGCTGTGCTTTGACTTGATGCTTATACTTATCCATTGATGTCGTAGCTTAAATTAGTAATTTCTTTCTTTCACCCATTGGCTGCTCCAACCCAAAAAATAACTAGTTGTTACTAGTTGATTTAGAAGAAAGAGAGAGAAAGAGATTCAAGTTAGTGTGAGTTAATGTCCTTATTATACTCTTCTCTCTTTCTCTCTCTCTCTACCTCTCTAATTAGAAGAAAGAGAGAGAAAGAGACTTAATGTTTATTTGCATTGACCCTAACCAACTGCAATTGGTGTAAGATCAGCTCATGCCTTATTATCAGCTATGTTCTTAAATAAATGACAATCCTTCTTTCATGGAACTCATGATATTCCAAGTTTAATCATGAATATTAAAATGCATATTTCAGCTCACCTTATTTGGGTATTTTGAATGTTTGTTTGGGTTTAAATAATAAAAATACTGTAATCATATATCCTCATCAATATCATTACTCCTATTTGATGCAGATTCAATAAATCAATATATAGATGCTGGAACGACTGCAGTGGTACTATCAGATGCTATATTTGATAAAAATGCAATGAAGCAAGGGGATTTTGATACCATACGCAGACTTGCAGGTTCGGCCATCTCAAAAGTTGCCCAAGCTGGAATAATACCTCAACAACAAGCATCAACCCACAAAAATTGAACAGGTAGTTTATGAATATTTTCAGTAAAACCTGCAAATAAATTTCTATGTTCTCTTTTAAAAGTTCACTAGGTCGTTCTACCCATACGTTTCATCTTATAATTGCTAATTCATGTCTTTAGATGTGCAAATAAACTTTTCTGTTCGAAATTAACTTCGGGCAATTTTTGGTGTGTAAAAATACGTATAAATTTAAACTTGCACACCAACAGATTAGTTGATCAGAATCATTAAAAATGAGTTGTTGAAAGATACTAGAACTCGTAAAGAAACCTTCATCTAGTTAGTTTTGTTTAACGTAATAAAGCAAGCAGATGTGGGATGATATATTCTTAGGAATGAAAAATTAGAAGATGGATGAGTGACCAAAGTCACAAAACAAAGTTATAAACTACAATTTTGAAGAAAATCTCCATCTTCATGTATAAGTTTGAAAGAATGAATATGACCATTGTTGCATCTCAGTTTTATTTTTGTATCTATTGTTTTAATCTTCGAACTGAACATGCCATTGATGATTGCGATCTAACATATGAGAATTATATGTGGATTGAGTTTTATTTATTTTTATGATGATTTTTTTAACATAAGAAAAAAAATGCATTAATAAAAAAATTATAGAAGAGGCTGGGCCTCAAAGAAGAGCTTCTTATGTACCTTCAAAGAAGCCTCAAACCCACGTAATTCAAAAAAAGGAAAACTACAGAACAGAAGTAGAGCAAAAGAAAAACAACAATCTAAAGTCAAGGCGAGAACAAAAAACTTAGAAGAACTACTCCATTAGAGAGCAAACAAAGAAAAGATGAATATAAGAGGGAAAAAAGAAGATTTTTTTGGATCCAACAAATAAAAACATGTGACCAAAAAATTGATCATATTGTAGACGATAACCACAAGGCGACATTCCAAGAGTTGGAAAATATGAGGAATGGATCATCTTCATAATGCAATGTAATTATCTGCTTAAGTTTCCACCATAATTGACCAGCAAATAATTCAGAAGATAAGAGAAACCTACCACAATCAGCATAGTTAAGAGAAAGCTACCTAATTCATTGAACTAAAATAAATTAGAAGATTACTCACTCACTCTAAATTACTAGAGCAGACTATCATGCCCCAAGATCTAACTTGGAAGAATTATTCGATTAATCTTTTAAATCAATCTATCTACCAGAGCTATCTATAATCATCAATCAGTAACAAATAGTCTAACAAAAATCCATAATTTAAAACATCATGTAAACATTTCTATTCATTCCCAAAAGTCATTTACAATACTCAGGATCTACAACGAAATCACAAATCCATCTAGTCCTAAGTACAAAAGAATAACTATAACAAAAGAACATAAACCTGAAGATTCTGATCAATCTCACTCTCCTGCTCGCTTGCCCTGACCTGAAATCATTAACCACATATAATGAGCTTAAAAAGCCCAGCAGGTCACCAAATACCTACAACTGAAATCAAAGCACGGCGCGGAAGCAATATGCATGTCAATCAGTCAAATCATAGCAGACACTTACACATGATCATTGAGTCAATGCAGAAACAAAAATCAATGCATAAACAATAATCAGTACAGAAATGATAGTCAATACATAAACAGTTGAATCCACAATCATCCATGTAGAATCAGTGAATATTAGAAAACCTCATAAAGCTCAATGAACCAGTACGTACGTCAAATCTCTACAGTAGTCATAGTATCTATAACATCAGTTAATTCAGTAGAGAAATCACTGTATCTATAACGTCAGTCAAATCATTAAAAAAATTCTCATATCAGTAATATCAATCAAATCAGTCAATAAATCATCGTGTCAATAATATCAGTCGTATAAAGAGAAATCATCGATTCAATAATATCAGTCGGTATAAAACGTCAAATCAATACTATCGTACGTGACTGTTGAAATCAAACCAATGCAGTAGAATCGTATCAAAACGTACACTTGCAAATCCAGTTATTCAATATTACGTGCTCAGTGTATCACATGTAATCCAGCAATTTTATATCACGTGTTCAGTGAATCACATGTTACTTGCTTAGTATATCACATGCATAATGTCAGTACAGTGAATCAGTAGTATCAGTGCCTGTATCAATATCAATAACAATCCAGTGACATGAACAGTAATGCTATAACAGTGAAATCGTGCATTAACAATAAATTCGTACAGTAACGATAAATTCATACAATATCAATAAATCCGTACAATATCAGTAGTCATACTCAATAAGTAGAAGCGTTGGCTATTACGGTGTTTTTCAGTATTAGTAAACCGTTGGCTCAGTAAATAGAGTTGTCAGCCTTTGCCCGTCGGCACAGTAATAATCTCCTTATAACTCCTAATCAGTGTATCACGTGAATTAGTATAGGATAACATCAAACAGTAGCATTTAAAGGAAAGCCCGTCAGCCCACTATCCTGTACAGATAAATCCATCTCCAACCAACGGGTCAACTAGTCTTTACTTGTTTGTTTCACACACATATAATATTATCAATATACCATAACAGTAATAGCGATCAGCTATTACTCAAGCACATATTTACATTCATTTTAATTCATTATAACAAATAGTGCATGATTAAACTTAATTCAGAAAACCCTTAAGATATCGTGCAGTAGACAGAAATCCTAGACATAATTAAAATACACTTTCAGAAAATTATCAAATTATCAGAAATCTTGTAAAACAACATTTCAAAACTTTAATTGTACTGAAGCACTATTTTTCAACATCCATATAATTTCCTATTCGATAAAAATCCCACAGAATTCAGAATACCTGGTGAAAAGTTTTCAGAAAATATTCAAAATGTGCAAAATCATATTCTCTATAACATACAAATGTTACGCGGTAAAAGTTTCGTCAATACAAAGATATGCACATTTTTCGGTAACGAAAACACAAATCTGAGCAGAAAAATACCAAAACACGAAATCTTTGAAATAAGAAATAGGATTTGGATTCCTTACTGCAAGACAAACAATTCTTCCAACTGCATCGACGGACGAAAATTGCTCCGTGGTCTCTGAAACCAAGCTTTTCCTTTCTCTCTCCTCCTCTTTCTCTATCCTCTTTTCTCTCTCTTCGAAACGTGTCAAACGGTCCATATATAGAGAAAAAGATATTTACGTTCGTACGAACGATATTTACATTCGTACCGGGACGATCGGCTCTGTACACAGATCGTACGGACGATGTTTTCGTTCGTCCCGGGACGATCGGCTTTGCCAAAAAAATATGTTCAGTTCGTACAGACGAACCTACATTTTGTTCCGTACAGACAGTTCGTACAAACTAACTGAAGAAATTTTCAATTGTTCGTCCGTACTAAAGTCAGTTTGTACAGACTAACTGCACAAAAAAAAATGAAATCCAAGGGTTTTACACAGACCAACCAAACTAACAATATTTCCTCAATCAATAGCCACCACACAACCATAAAAATTGATTGTTATCCCATCTTTCCAACCACTTACCAAAAATACAGTTCATATGTACCACTCATATTGAATGGAATTATAAATATGTAACCAATCTTCATTGATTTTATTGAAATATTGTTAGGAGTACAGTTCTCCATTATGAAGGATACGAACTTTATAAATGTTCTATAAATTCTTTTATATTTTGTAAACTAGAGGATCTCATTTTTAGATCCTAAGAAAAACTCTAAAGAGATAAATAAAAAAGTTACAAACTTAGCGATGCAGTTTTCGAAAAATCATCTTCATTTCTATTTACTAATCTCCTTTCTCCAAAATATTCTAACTGTTTGTCTCACATCTTTGAACTTAGATTGTCCATAATTCAACATTCAAAGTGTTGAATCCTGAATCAATGGCTAACACATCTTCATGAATAACAACTTTTTTTACTTACAAAAATTACATTTCATGGATAACATCTTCTCATTTATAATAATTATGAAATTCGTGGATGATAATATTCTATTTATATCAAAAAGTTAAATATGGATTCCAAAATTAAAGATTGATTTTTAGATTAGTTTTTTTCCCTTAGAATTAAACTATAAATGAATTAAAAATATAAAAAATCAAGTAACATGATAAAAAGTAGTACATCAAAGTGAGATCATAATGAGTCAATAATTTTTTAGATTAGTTTTTTTCCCTTAGAATTAAACTATAAAATGAATTAAAAAATATAAAATATTAAGTAAGATGATAAAAAAGTAATATATCAGAGTGAGATCATAACGAACCAAAATAAAATCAAGGTCTGCTTTGAGTCTCATAAAATAGATATATGTTATCACATGCCGCCATTAAGCTATGTTCAATCCATGCAAGCCATTAAGTGATTGTTATTCATCAGATATCTTTCTGTAATCTCATGTTATGGTTACGTTCTGATCGATAGCACCCATTGATTCTCCTAAATTTTCCTGTGGATTGGTATTGAGCACCATAATTAAAATTTATCTATCATAATTAACACCATAATTAAAATTTATCTATCATAATTACTGAATTGGTTGTCTTCATTCAATTTCTTTGTTTTATCATCATAAGGATCACTGGCTATCCCTTAGGCCAGTCAGATGTTTGTGGTTAGTATGACCCAGATATTGGTCACGTCACTTGACACAACTTACGTTCGGTATTTACAATACTGAGCAGTAATGAGCTTGGTACTGTGAATTACTGAGTACCGATTGGGTCAGGTCACCGGACACAGCTTACGTTCGCTATTCATAGTACTGAGCAGTACTGAGCTCGGTACTGAGTAGTACCGAGCTCAATACTATTTGGTACTGCTCAGTACCGAGTAGGAGGTGATGTAGCGCATTTTCATTGGGCTCCGAACACGTCCGGTGATCTGACCCAATAATTTATGAGCTTTATATGAGATAGTATTTTACATTCCATAGCTCAATTCTTTGCTCTACAGCCACTGCAGAGAAGAGGAGGGAGACTTTTTAATGTTATCAACAACTCGGACCTAATTCTGGTGGATGCAGACCTTTTCTCTTTATGCTGTTTAGGGTGGTAATTCATTCAATTGTAGAGATTTTGTCAAAAAGTTTTAATGATATTTATATGAAACTCCGTGATATTATGATTAAAGAGAAGTGAGTTGAGCGGTTGAGCCTATTTTGCTCATGTCTATTATGTCCAAAGAAAATAGATATGATGGTACAGTAGACAATGGATGTTATTTCTTTATTGAAGAAAAATGCACATAGTGGATGTCATGGAAATGAGAGATTATTATGTCTGAAGTTCGGACCGGAGAACTGTCCAGAATATGTGGGTGTACATAATAAAAGCACAATTACTATACAACACCGTATTTTTATTGTGTTTTTACTGTGTATACTCACAAAATTCGAATACAAGTTCGACTCAATTCTGCATGTAATAATCTCTCTCGAGAAATTGGAAGGCAAAGCCAACCTATCGTACTATTAAAAAGGTCATAATAAGATCTTAAAATTCTCTTGCATAGATTAGAATAGTATGATATGAATAAACTATAGTTGGAGAATCTGCCACCGCTGAAATTAAAAAAAAAAGTACAGAGCTCCTTCAACTTACAGCCCAGAAGTTACGCATAAGTTTTTCACAGCATTAAAAATAATGATGATTAAGATTTTATTTGGTACGATTTTCTTATTATTTCTAAATAAAAATTTATACCAAACAAATCCTAAATAATCAGAAGCTGCCTTCAGAACTAGTTTTGTTAACGACTCTAATCTGCATATATGATTAAATTGGCCATCGGATACAAATTCGATTAAGATAAGTTTTGAAATTATTAGGTTTAATTTGATACTAATATTTTTAATAAAAAAATTATGATAAGTTAATCTTAAATTAAATTTAATAATTGTTATATTTGTATATAATTTATATGAGGATTAGAGGATATCCTCAGTTAGAAGTAGGTAACATGAATGATGACTTGTTAAGAGAAATGATGCGCGTATTATATGCTGAAAATGTATTGAAAATATAGCAACTGTACTTGTCAATTTTTTAAAGATGGGAAAGCATGTATCATTTCAATGGAATAAATATCTACAAAAGGTTGTTTCCTGAAAAATTATTTTGTGCGGATGCTAAACGTAGTCTGAAGACCAACCATAATGCGTGATATCGCCCCTTCGCTCGGTAGTGCTCAGTATCGTTGATGTGACTACACCTGATTCGTCTCCAAACATAAAGCTGCATCCGGCGTCCGTACAGAATAATTTTTCACTTGGCTTGCTCCAAGAAGACCTAAGATACGTGTTCTTCTAAAATAAGATTGAAGTCCAAGGAGATCATGCATGTGTTGAAGGTGGAGAGTGACACGGGAAGACCATGACTGGTTCCTTTTCAGGTTGTTGGAGGCATGGAGGGTAAAAATCTGGTATGTACCAAGCAGTTTACATGGAGAACAGAAGGTCAAATCAAGGGTCTCTGATACCAATTGGTGAAAACAAGAGAAGGGAAATCAAAGGAGATTAGAGGAAGTAGAGTTAGGAGAAGCAGATATAGGAAAGGAGAAAGGGGGTAGATAGCGTCAGGGACTAGAGAGCAAAGGCAACTCCAAGAATTTCAAGGCAGCAGGAATTCAAGAGCAACTACAGAAATCCAATGGCACAGCAGAACGGTCGTAATTGCAGTTGCTACAATAACAGACACTGCAGCTGCCGCTTTGCTAAGTGCCCCGAGGAGGGAAAATTTATTCTGTCCGGAATTCAGGCCCCAATGAAAATGTGTCATGTCCGATACCGGGCTTATACCAAGCGGTAATCGGTACTCAGTATCGCTCGATACCTGAGGTTTAGCGTAAACCGGACGGTTCTCCCGTCCGGTGTCCGCACAGAATAATCTCTCCTGAGTAGGAGAATTGGACTGTTTGCTGAAGGGACTGGGCGGGGGAAGGAGTGAAGAAAGAAGAGAATTACTATTGATTTTTTTCAGTCTAAACCAGGCCTTTAAATAGGTAAAATCATAGTAGGGATAAATCTAATACATTGCTACGTAAATTCCACAATAATAATATTAATATCAAGCCTTTATCCCACTACGTGGGGGTCAGCTACATGAATCTTTTTTCTCCATTGTGTCCGATTAAGAGTCAAACTATCATTTAGATCTAATAAAGAAATGTCATTTCTAATAATTTCTAACCAAGTCTTTTTAGGTCTATCTCTACCTTTCTTAACATGGGTTAAATCTAATACATCCACTCTCCTAACCGGATCGTCGGAAGGCCGCCATTTTATATGACCAAACCATATAAGGCGACTCTCTCTAATCTTGTTTGGCACTGGAGCTACTCCAACCTTTTCAAGTATATGCTCATTTTATATCCTGTCATTAAAAGTAAATATACTCACCCACTTGAGCATCCTCATCTACGCAACACTTTAACTTTATATTAAAAAGGAGAAGAAAATGCTACGTAAATTCCACTGAAAAAAAAAAAAGGATATCCTCCTATCTGTAATAATAACCTAGATAACTTCGAACAAATCAATAATTCCAGTAGGAATTAGCCAAATCTGAATTTAAATTCAAATGCAAATTTAACCAAATAACTTATAAAAATTCAAATTCATTCTTCTATTATTGTAATATAAACTTTAATTAAATGGTTTAATTTTCATAATCTTGATCTCCCTCATGTGATATTCAATGGTCTAATTAAATGGCCTTATTCTGAGTCCTTCCCTTTCTATTATGGTGGGATTTTGGAATTCTGCTGCATTAACATTATGAACTTATGTTTTATTATTTGTTAATGGACTTACCGAAATTCCCATGCTCTTTTTCCACCCATGTTTGTTGTGGTTGATGGTTGATATTAGTGTTGTTAGTACATTATCCCACCTTTATGTGGAGGCATTAGAAAATCCACCTGAAATCTTTGAGTTGGAAACTTCCGGAATTAAATATAGGACCAATCTAATTCTTATTTCAATAAACTATATGTAAACATATAGAACATCTCAACGATACGAATTCAAAGACGGCAAAAGTGATTCAATTCAATTCTAAATGTGCCAAAATCAAGCACTTGAACCGTAACTGAAAACTTCAGTATATATTAATTAAATGATCAAGTGATCTCCAAATCGTACATGCTTATGATCAAATTAAGCATCCAATAAGACAAAGATCACTTAATCTCGACATCAATAAGGCATTTAAATAATGAAAGAATAATCTTTGATCAAGGCAATCAATCAAGCTGCAGAATATAGTATTTTGAACATTTGGCAAGATTTATCAAAATGTCATAACATTCAAAAAAACTATAAATAGAGTTCTATTCTTTACATGAAAGGAGGGCTTGGGGGCTTGACCAGAGATGAGAGGGCTTAGAGACTTCCTAGTGCTCTACCTGACCACCATCAAATAACTGCTATTGGACCATTCTCGTCGAACCACCGCAATTGAACCACCGTTGTTGGACAATCATTGTCCACCACCATTGCGCCCCACTACCTTGCTACCACCCCGGCAATAGACTCTAACTATCGTCACTCGACTTTGGCCCTCTAACCATTGTCGCTCGAGTATGGTCATTTGACCACCATCAACAAATTATGATTCTTCAACCAACACCATCCGATTACTCCAGCCCCTGCCGCTTTGTCACTTGTCATCGACACTAACACTGACTCCTAACATTACAACCAAGATTTATACTAGACTTCTTAGCTTGTGGTCTCCCTCTTTAAAGAAGTATGACCGAACATGCATCAAACATTCTCTTGAAGACTAAGGCCCTTAAAACTTCCACCATGGACAATACCACACACAACAAATACACTATGGAACATATTGCACACAACAAATATATATACACGCCCGCGCGCATATGGAAAATAACGAGAGACCTCAAGAAAGATGCTAGCCGACAGCAACCGGAGAAAAAAATGGTCACAAGTCACTGCTGAATAAGCTTCCAGAGTTTAAACATCTCAAGGATATATAAAATGCATTAGCAGATTAACCAAATAAGAAATCTCTCAAGACAATGTGACCCAGCAACTAAAGAAGAGATTATTCAATACAAAAAGACGTAAAAGTTGATAAAATGTGTATGGAACTACAAGCAATTATCATAAATTAGGATAACAATAAGGCAGTCCTTACCATGGCAGAGAACAAACAGGAAATAACTCCACTCTTCTACCACCAGTTAAAAGAATGATCGAACAGGTTGGAGACTCTCAGTTTGATCATGCAAGGAGCACGTTGAAAAGAAAAGGCAGCAATAACAAGAAAATACAACAAAAGTAAGAACTCAGAATGATAAATTTGCAATCATAGTAAAATCTTCAAAATAAAAAACTCGTTACTCTAATAATCATCTATTTGATTCCCTTTTTTTCCTTTGCTCTGCTAAACAATCATCCAAACTGATAAGAAAAGGGATAGATCAGTTTGAAGAGGGCAAAAACCGAACCAATGGATGGAGCAACAAAATCGTATTGCCGTAGTAATCATTGCGATTATGACCTTCAGACCTGGGAATCGTTCTTACGGCTCATCTTCTCGCTGTCCCTCTCCTCGATAAGATTATGGGACTCCTCATCGTTGGGTACGGCCTTCTTCTGAGCCTCCTTTGCCTTGAGTGCCTGAAGCTTGATGTGATTGTAGTATGCTACCCCGAGGAAAGCTATACCATAACCAAATAGATTGACGGCTGTGACAGTATCACGGATGACGGACCAGGAGAAGGCGATGAGGAGCCAGTCCTTGACGACACCAGCAACATTCATGGTGAGGGCTGAGGTCTTGCCGACGAGGAGGAAGACTGCAAGGTTAAGGGCGAAGGCGCAGAAGGAGTTCGTGCCGAAGATGGGGAAGTCGAAGTGGAAGGAGGAGGTGTTGCGTAGGGTGGGGAGTTCGACAATGGCCCAAGGGAGGATGAGGAAGACGAGGCAGCAGGGAGCAACGTAGTAGAGGGTGGTGATAGGGTTGAGTGTGATGCCTTTAGAGCTGAGGAGAACCTGGATGAGAACGAGACGTGTAGCCTCGAAGGCAACTGCGCCAAGCTGGAGCAAGACACCCAAGCCATTGAATCGGGCCTCGCCATAAGCAGCGATGGCCACACCGAAGGAAATGGAGAGCATGTTTGTCATGGTGGAGCTTCGAAATGACTCCTTGTTGAATAGGATGGAAATAGAGTAGACCGCTACAGGCATGAGAGCTTTTAGCATCTGGATGAAGGAAACGGAGAGGTAGATGTAGGCGGAATTGGAGAACCAGAGGGAGAAGGCGTATAGGGCTCCGATGGGGACAATGCTAGAGACGTACAGCTCGCGCGTCATTGCCGGGGAGGAGGGCAATTCGACGACGCGGAGGACGCGGACGAGAAGGACGGCAAGGGAGGAACAGAAAGCCATGTGGATCATGGTGAGGGAGATGGGGAAGGGCCAGTTGTACATCTTGGGATCAAGGATGTACTTGTTATAGACGATCACCGAGAAGCTGAGGAAAATCCAGATGCTGACATATAAGTAGGAAAGCAAAATCTTCTTCAACACGCTCTCGGACATACCGGACACCGAAGAGCCTTCGCGCCCCATCGCCCTTCTTCCAGTCGCTTCCTCCTCTCCCCGGACAAATCGATCGATGGGGATCTGTCTCTCCCTCTGTATTTTTCTCTCTTTCCTTTCTGTCGGGCGATTGACAGGAACACCCCGCAAGATAGAGGACGCACAGAGCCCTGAACCCTAAATCGAAACCTGAATCGGCGGCGAGGGCGGAGGAGATCCAGACGGGTTGGAGGAGGAAAGAGAAAGCGGATTGGAAATTGTGAAAGAGGAGAAATCTAAGGCAGATAGAGAAGGCGGCCTCCAATCGGGCGTTAGAAGAAGAGCAGGGAGTTTGGCTCATTCGACGGATTTTATCGATTTATATTATATATTATCTAATTTGAAGAATGTGTTCGTTTATAATTTTAAATAATTAAATTACAGCCGATCACATTTTTAAGTTGTTTTGGGCTTAGATAATTACATTAGGCCCATCTCTAACAAAATTACTCTCAATTATGTATATCATAAATTTTGATGATGAGACATATATTGATCATACACATAATAATGGGCATTAACATTATTGGCGAATGTAGATGAAGAAATTAATAGGTGTTGGTGTACACACATTAATATATGTGCATGTATCCGTTCACATTCACAGGTGTCTTGCATATCATGTTCGAGTCAAACGCAAGGAGAATATATTCCTCTCTCTCGGAGTTTTTCGTTCAAGGGTTTTGCTCATGAGCTTAATATTGGAGCACGACAAATCAACATTGGCCATCTCTTCCAACAAGTCGCCCCTAGGCGAGGACATCACTCCGCCTTCTCTCCTCATAATAGGGCAATCACAGAATGACCTAATATTCCACATTAGCTTGTCCTCTCGACTTACATTCTGATGATACTCACCCTCCTCTCATCTCAATAAGGGCTCCCAAACCAGCCTTCGGCCAATGGCTGCAAGTCTCCACTTGGCACCGACGGTGACCAACAACATAGACTGACAAAGACAACCATCATGTCAAAGATGTACGTCATGCAACTTTCCAGACTCTTTAAAGGAGGGTGATAAAGAGGAAAAAAGGGAGAGAGATTTCAACATCCTCAAATAAAGCATCCTAAAAAAGGAGAAACCACAAGGAAGAACCACTAGAGGGAAAAAGGAAAAATGTTATTTCTTTCAATGTAATTTAAAGCTCTATCTTTCACTTGTTTTTATCTCTGGCCTGGATAATAAAAATTTCATCAAAATTCATACAACCTCTTATCTTTCTTCACATTTATACTTCACTACATTATCCTCTCATGCTTTCTGCCTATTGGTGGGGTATAGTACAACCCGACATCATCCACTGGATATAATGTGATTCAACATCCTCCCAATATGGTGAACTTGGATCGATGCTGAAGGCAAGAAGATCATTTCCTACCACGTGGCCGACACCCTGTAGAATATCAAGAACTGTGAATATACTACTCGCCAAGAATTGTAAGAGATAGAAAAACAGCTCTTGAATTCCATTAAAGATGCTCTCGCTTCCATCAGCCACCAATCGCGAACAGTCAACACGCTTCAAGAGCCAACTAATCCTCGCTCCGAGCCTCTGGTGGAAGCACCTGCTTCAGAACCATCCGTTAAACCCATTCATCTCCATATGAGAGACGAGAACTCCAATTTAATAGTCAAATGGGCTAGAGAAACTGAACCAAGGCCAACCAACACCTTCTCCAGATTGATCTTCGAAGCGAAGGGTTATAGTCAGACGATAATGGTCATATGATTTTAGTCAGAAGGCTGTAGTCGAAAGATTGAACATCAGAGGATCATAATTGAATAATAATGGTTTGACTACATTAATGAAGCACTGGTTCAACGACGACACTCAAATGATGGTCTGATAATAGTGCCCAGGCAGTAGTCCCGCATTGATGCTCGGTGGTCTAAGGAGGAAGGCTCCCCACCCAAACTTCTAGCCCCCATGATGTTCTTACTGGGAAGGTAGACACATAACTCAATTTATATAAATAACTTTTTTATTATAGGACAAAAATTCCACTCCACAACTTATGTATTTGGCCCATTCCAAGTTTTGGGTCATGAGCCTGTGCGAGATCTGCTGTAACAGATGGTGTTTTTGAGCCCGAATGATTTCTCAATGCTTGTTTGTCTTCTTGTGGAGGTACCCAAGCAGCTTTTTAGTACATAATTTTTTTAACTATTTTTTTTATACTAAAAGCCTATTTTAAAAAGTAATATATTATTTCTTTAATATTTAATTATTTTTTGTTGTATTTACTCTTCCTCAAAATTGAAGCTGGTTCCGCCCCTGAAAGCGGTGTACTAGAAACAACTCATTCTTTTCATTCAAAAATGAAAAATGAGGAAAATCAGAATCACTGCTTAAATTAACAATCAAGATCCTATTTATACTAAATTTTATTATTTTATTTAATGTCATCATTACAGTAAATTATAATACTCATCTTTTACACATTATTTAATTTCATATAAAATTAAATAAGATATATCATAAGCTAAATAAGGGTAATAGGTCAGAAGAAAAGAAATGACCGAAGAGCATTATGATGTGCTTCATATTACACTGATATTAAATCAAATTTAATGGAAAGATTACCAATCAATTTTTTTTTTCTTTGTAATTTTCAATTCTTATTAAATTCAAGCGGAGTAAAAAGAGATGGTTTTCAACTAAGGCTTTGTTTGAGACAACTTTCTTATTGTTTTTTAAAGTAAATTTTTAGTAAACTTTTTAATTTTTGTACTAAAAAACTGCTTTAAGTAGCAGTAAAAAAGCTGCCCCAAATGGAGCCTAAATTTAAAGTTGATTCGAGTCATTTCTTCGCAATAACAACAAGTCTTTATCATATTACGTGCGATTGGCTATATGAATATTTTTATTTATTGTATTATATTAATATTAAGAATTCATATTATGATTGTTCCACAACTTTTATGACGAAGATCAATTGCCTAATACAATCCTCAATTTTTCTCATCCAGAGCTTAGAACCTTATAACGGCACCGCACTGTTAAGACTAAATTATAAAAAATATATATTTTTTTTTATTTTTATGTTGATTCTATAAATGAATCTTTACACAGTACTTAGGGACAACTACCAGCTTCAGAAGGCCCACAAAAAGTAAACTGTTCTTAAAGAAGGCCTAAATACTTTGGGCTGGGCATTATAGAAATCCTAACATTTTATCCAATGCAAGTAGGCCAAGCCCAAGGGCCTTAATTGCTTGTCCTATATGCCTTGCATGATAATGAAGGAAAGCTAACAGCCTAAGAAGAAGACATGCATGAGGTAGTGATAAATATGTCCGAATGGGCGCACAAACGCCATTAATAGCACTCTGCTCGTCATCATTGATGCCGTCCAAAAGCATTAAAAATGCTTTCAAAAAAGCTCAAAGCAGACAAAATTCTCCCAACCTGTAAGTTGCCAGTCATCTTCCTGAATCACTCGCTGATCTGCTTGCAGAGGACTCACGTATAGCTGCAGCATTTCACACTCACTTGCAGAGGACAAGCGATATTCCTTTCTTAAACAGTTAAGCTCCTCTGTCCGTTCAACTTTATCAGAACTTTTGGGTCGGTTGTAATAAGTTTACTAGAAAAGAGTTAATTATAAAGATTTGTTAGTGAAAAAATATCGATAAGTCAATAAAGGACAATATATAGGCATTCAGATGATTGTGATCAACTGATAATGGTCAAGTAGCGATGGTCTGAAGATGGACATTGGGTGGCATCAATTCAACAACAAAGGTCATCAGTAATAGTCTGCCAATATTGATTGGGCGATAGTGGTTCGATGATGAAGGATGTGCAACATTAGTATGATAATGGTGGTAGGACAAAGGTGATCCAATGGCTTAGATCGGGTGACAATGATCTACTGAAGATGGTTAAAAAATGATGGCAACGATTTGCTCGTTGCTTGGCAATGGTAGTTAGGAGATGATCCATACAAAATTCTTATGATTTTTTTTTGGATGTTTTAACATAGCGATATGTTTTCAAAACTGATGTGCTTTTTTAATTATTTAGTGTAATTCATAAATCCTCTTTAAAATATAATAATTTTAATTGCATACATAAAATATTAAAAAAAAGACAATTTTTCTGCCTGCAAACAACCAAATGTGCCTTGCAATCATGTCACTAAGGACAAAGTTCCTCTTTATCATGGTGCAGTTACTAAGCTAGATAAATATAGCTGTAAATGGTGTTGATCAAACAACTAAAGCATCATCGTCACTACATGTGATTAGGAGTGCAAGTGGGTCAAGTTGACTCATGAGCTGGCTAAGATTCGGCTCGATAAATAGCTCATGAGCCAAGTTTAACGAGCTCACTCGCGAGCCAACCTTGAGCCAGCTATGCTTTCACCATAGAATTTTAAGTACATAATAGAAAAAATATTTAAAATATATATCTCATTCATTTTATCATTACATTTGAATCATAATAATTTTCTCTTTTTCATAATAAACAAGCCGACTCGTGATCTGGTTCAAACTCGTAGAATAAAACTCAAGCTCAAGCTCGAACTCGATCAAATTAATCAAGCTCAAGCTCAAATCACGTGCGACTCAAACTCGACTCGACTCGGTTACACTCCTATATGTAATTATTTCATTTCCTATTCTAACAAAAAAACAATTCAAAATTTAAAAGTTCTTAGCTAAATTCTCTAACCTATTTATATATAAGAGAAAATGTAAGGAGGTGATGAGCTTCCATTAATGCCTCTTTGCTGGTCCATGTGAATAGCATATGTATGCCTTAATGGCCCTTCATGATGGAATTCAACTTCAAAGTTTTTTTGAATTATAAAATTTAATTGATTAATCATATATTACGCGACCCTAATATATAAAATAAATAAATAATCCTGATAGATAAGGTCATGAGTTTGAACCCGAATGTATTGAATGTGTGCATACATTTGTAATTTAATGCAGTCAATATATAAATAAATAAATAAATTTGATAAATTGAAGAATTAATATTATTTCTTTCATGCTAACAATAAAGCACATTGAAGAAGACATTAGATATTATATATATGTTTTTCATATCCTCAGTAAATAATTAATTGGATATTTTCAACTCACTAATATAATTTATGGTAGTTATTTTTCATATGAACCTTAAATATTAATTTAGGTTTCATTTGGGACATCTTTTTAATAGCTTTCTAAAGCAATTTTTTTGTACAAAATTTTTTAGAAATAGATATTTTTTACAAGAAAGCTACTTTAAAAATCAATAAAAAAAACCGTCTCAAACAAAGCATTAATGAATATAAAATAAGCCGATCCGAACTAATGTTAGGTTATATTGAACAAATATAAACAATTCCCTATACATACACTTAAATTGAATTTGAAGTTATTGAAGGAGTAATGACTCCTTCCTATTTTATGTGATTAGTGTGCTAGTGTAAGTGAGTCGAGTCAACTCATGAGCAAATTATAATATCATTAAGGTAATCAAATGCTTAATAAGTGGTCTACGATCAAGGGAGTCGATATCGGCCATCCATTTAGAACACTCCCAACTTGCCCTTGACACTCTCTATTTACTAGTCATGTCAGTCTCAAAAACTATAAATAGTCCCCTTATTCTTCAGTGAAAGAGGACCCAACCAAGGAAGAGAGAGAAATTAGAGTTCTCTTGCCCTTAGACTCCTCCTCAACTATCGTCGGATCACTAGCCATCGCTGGACTTCTGCCCAGCCATTAACAAACATCGGACTTCCGTCTGTCTATCAATCGACAACAAGCTTCTGCCCAACTATCCATACAATTGTAATTTCATTGTCCTCAAGTTTCGAGATAGGTCAAGCTTCATAACCTATTCAAACAATAGTTGAATCATTTTGACTGGGCAAGGGTCTTAATTTGGTTTTTCCCTTTTTTAGGATTTTCTACGTAAAAGTTCTTGTGCTTATGTTTGTGAGCTGGATATGCGTACAATGCTGAGATGCACAATTTTTTTTTACTTTACCGTCGCGAATATTTTAGCCTGTAACAGTTTGACACCATATGTACGAAACTCAATCCCACTATCCTAGGCACTGCTTCAATGGCTAACATGTCTATCAATCATAACTTGGGAGCCTCTCGCTCCAACACACATCAATCTAGGAATCAGTCTATAAATTAGGGACGTCAAGCATCTGCGTCTTTTTATCCTTGTAAGCAAAATCCTATAGGAGCAGGAACTTCAGTACCTTCACTAAAAGATCATATTTGAAAGATGAAAGAATATCAAAATAAGATCTTTCAACTTCTACGAGAGACTCAGCAACTGGTGTTAACACAATAGGATGATATTCATCTCCCTCAGAATCCACCAATGAATGAAGATGTTCAACCTGAGCAATTTCAAGCAATACCCCTCTCCTTTAGTCAAGGATGCATCCCCTATCACATCAAGATAATAAACTTGCTGACACAACAAGCTCTACCCATCTTTCGCGCACAGGTCAGTCACTCAACATTCCTCAAGTTATCGCTAAGACGCACGGTTGTTCCTACTTTACCGTCATAAATATTCTAACCCATAACACTTATATTGATTTATTATTTTATTTTAATTTCTTATTAAAAAAGTTTGAGCTTAACTTCAAACTCAATTAATTAATTAGGCTAAAATTCATGTTCAAATTAGAAGTGACAAACTTAGACTGTGTGCATGCCTTAATACTATTCATGTTTTTTTTTATTTTTATTTTTAGATAGGAATTTATCTCTTTTTTTTGGGGAAAATAGGAATTTATCTCAAACATCTTATTAATAAAAACAAATGATAACACTAATAAAAAATATATTAAAGAATAAAATTAGCATAAAAATAGTAATATTTAGTTAAAGAAAAGATGAAGACTGAAAATGTTTGATAAAAAAATGGTGAGACAGCGTCCAAATGTGAAGCTTTAGATTCCACCAGTGACCTTTCTTTGCTTGCTTCCAAGAAAAATGTCTGGCAGTGGCAGAAGCTAGCATGACCATTATTATTACTGCTGCTCATCCATCATTGCTGCTGTCCTTAAATCAAAGAGAAAGCTCACAAGGACAACCATTTTTAGCCCTGAATTTATTGTCCCAATAAGTCTCTTATTTGGCTAATTTTGATCGATTTATTGTGAGTTTTAGCTACCAATCCAATTAAAAATAATTTTTAAAATTTATTATGAATAAGATAGTTTTTTTTTTTTGTTTCTTTTGAACAAATCAAAGAATAATTCTTTAGATAAGAAATTTTTTATTGAAATACATTTGATTATAAATATTTATGTCTCATAATAAAAATTTAAAAAAAAATACTAAAAAAACTCAGCTAAACATAATTATAATTGTTATTAAAAAATAAAGATGAGCCTTAGATATCCTTTTTAAGGAAGAAAAACTAAGTAAGAATATCGATTAATTTATAATTGGGTTAAATTTCAAAATTATCTCCAGATTATACGCTATATGATCATTTTAGACCCAAATTATAACATCGCTCTAAATTTATTCCCTCAATTATACAAAACATATCTAAATGGTCGATTTGAGATTAAATTTAAGACTTCGTTTGAGACTATTTTCTTTTTGCTTTCTAAAATAGCTTTTAGTATAAAATTTTCTTTAATTTGAAAATTTTACATTAAAAAGTCATTTTAAAAAACAATACGAAAAACTATCCGAAACGAAGCCTAAATCAATACTGTAAAGCTGAGAAATTAAGGCTTCGATTGGGACACCTTTGACATTGTTTTCGAAAACAGCTTTTTAGTACAAAATTTTATAATTCAAGAAAATTTTGTACTAAAAAGTTGTTTTAGAAAACATTATGAAAGTTATCTAAACAAAACCTAAATTAGGACCAATTTTATATAACAATTATAACATGTAGGATTATTTTAGCTCAATTTTGTATAATCAAATGATTAATTTTGGGACAAAATAATTTGGGAACTATTTTCATTTTTTTGTTTTATAAATATTAAATTTAAATTAACAGCTAGAATTTATATTAAACTCATGCTAAGTGAAGAACAGAGGCTATAAATATTCTTATCTAAAGGTACAAAGGACACGAGCTTTATTGGTTGCCTTCACATCACGCACAGTCTCATCGGACCGTTGGACTTACCGTATTTCAAATAAAATGAATTGAAGCAATTCTAAGCTGGTAAAAAACAGAGCCAAATTTTCTTTTTTCTCTCTCCCGAAACTCTTAAGGGCCTTCTCTCCAACTTTGGAAGAACTAATTCGACTCTGGATATGTACTCTGCAATATTTTATGAGATAATTTTGTTTTGACAGTATTGATTTCTGGTCTTCTGCTTAAAAGAACTATCATATGAAGTTTACAGAATTGAATTGTAAAATATGCATCATGGGCGAATTTGGCCTTTTAATCGCCACCAGAAGCCGCGGCGCACTGGTAAGATGGACGGGAGAGGTGGGCTTGCGCGCTGGCTGGGCAGCCGGTGGTGGCCGCCGGTGGAGGCAGCATGCAATTGTGAGAGAGACAGAGTGAAGCAGACGCGGGAACAGCCATTCCGACTGTGGACGGCGGTAGCGAGAACACACTGAGAAAATTACTCTGAGCGTAGAAAGTAGTCATGCTTCCATTGTAAATACTCTCTATGTACTCCTCCGGTACCGCCCCTGTAAACTGATTGTTGTTCAGGTATAGGCTATCGGCGGCAGCCAGACCCGCCGGAGGCTCCCCCGTAAGCATGTTATGGCTGACATCCACCACCGCCCACTTTACCGTAGTGTCCGAGGAGAATGGAAGGGATAAATTGCCAGAGAAATTGTTGTCGTTGAGGAGAATGGAGGAGAGCCCCGGAAGGGAGAAGATCGTCGGCGGTATTTCGCCGGAGAAAACATTGTTAGAGAGGTCGAGGAACTCGAGGGCAGGAAAGGTGGGGGGGAGTGGGCCGGAGAGGGAGTTAATGGAGACGGAGAGGAAGCGGAGGGTGGAAGGAAGAGGTGGGAGAAAACCAGTGAAGGAATTGCCGCGGAGATCGAGATGGAGGAGGTTGGGGGCGGAGGTGAGTTGAGATGGGATGGGGCCGGTGAGGCCGCCATTATAGGCGAGGATGAGGACTTTGAGGCTGGGATTGGAGGAGAGGAGAGAAGGAGGGAGAGAGTCTTGGAGCTGGTTTTGGCTAAGGTCGAGGGTGTGGAGAAAAGGAAGGTTTGAGAGGGAAGGTGGGATGGGGCCGAGGAGGAGGTTGGAAGAGATGGAGAGGAGGCGGAGAAGGGGAAGAGAGCCGCCGAGGTTTGTAGGAATTTGTCCGGTGATGCGGCCGGGGAAGATAACGAGCTCTGTGAGGGCAGTGAGGTTGGAGATGGAAGTGGGGAGAATGCCACCGAGGCCAGGAGAGTCCGTTAAGCCAGTGCCGAGAGTGAGGACGGAAACGCGGAGGAAATTGTTGTCGTCGTCGTCAGGCGAACAGGTAATGCCGGAGAAGCTGAGGCAGGGATCTGAGGAGAAGTCCCAGGAAGAGAAGAAGGTGGAGCCGGGAAGGTCGAAGAGGTTCTGGCGGATGTTCAGCAGAGCTTGACGGTCTGTAGGTGATAGTGACGACTGAGCTGAGCAGTGGAGGAAGAGGAAGAAGAAGAGGAAGAGGAAGGGAGGGTGGATTGGACTCATGGATTCTCTGGATAAGAAGAATGGTGAGGGAATCAAACTAAGACAGAGGGAAGGGGGAAAGGTAAGTTTTTTAAGTAGTTTGGAGGGGAGGAAGAGTTCAAAGGTGACAGAGCAGAGGGGTCAAAATCGAAATCCTATGAATGGGATTCAAAGGAATATTTATTAATTACTTTGTATGGTACAACTTACTTAATTTTGAGTAAAACTATTTTTTTACTCTAAAGTCTCATCATTTGGTCACTATCAATCTATTTTGGGTAAAATTACTGATTATGATGTGCACATTTTTATGTATCAAATATAAATATAATATTGATACGTTATTAAAAATTATCTTGATCGGGCACAAATCTCGATGCAAAATCAAGTTGAAAACTTTCAAAATTAAAATTGGGATCATCCGAACTCCGATTTCAACAAACTTGCAGTCGAACTAAACATCTCGGAAATACGAAACGGCACCAAATTCGATTCAATCTGAGCCCAAATGAGTCCAAATCAAGGACCCAAAGCACTATTGGAAGGTTCGAACAACAATTCGGGTTACCAAAAGGTTTCCAAACATGACATGCTTATAGTCGAATCGAGAGGCTCGACGAGACGAATCCAACGACCCCAAGATCACTGAATTCCGATATCACTAAGACATTCAAATATCCATCAAACGGTCTATAATCAAGGGATTGAACATCGACCGTCCATCCAACAACTCCCCATTTACCCTTGATCTCTCACCTATTTTAGGGGGCCATGTCACTCTAGAAATCTATAAATAGACCCCTCATTTCTCTTGAGGGGGGCACCGAAGCAAGAAGAGAAGAAGGAAGAAGAGAAACAAGAGAATGAAGAAGCTCCTCCTCGACCACCACCGGAGTCTCGTCAGACCACCACTTGAGGCCCTCACCTCCGCCGGATCACCGCCTGACCTCGTTACTTCACCGGACCACCACTTGAGGCCCTCACCCTCGCCAGACCACCACTTGAGGTCCTCACCTCCATCAAACCACCACTGAAGGCCCTCACCTCTGGCGGACCACCGCCTGACGTTGTTGCTTTGCCGGACCACCACTTGAGGCCTTCACCTCCGCCGGACCACTGCCTGACATCGTTGCTCTCTCGGACCATCACTTGAGGCCCTCACCTCCTCCAGACCACCACTTAAGGCCCTCACCTCCGCCAAACCACCACCTAATGTCATTGCTCTGCCAGACCACCACTGGAGACCCTGAGTTCCTCTGGACCACCACTTGAGGCACTCACCTCCGCCAGACCACCACTTAAGGCCCTCACCTCCGCCGAACCACTGCCTGACGTTGTTGCTCTGCCGGACCACCGCCTGAGGCCCGAACTTTCGCCGGACCACCATCTGATGCTCGGACTTCTGCTAGACCACCACCTAAGGTCCAGACTTCTACCAGACACCACTTGATGCCCAGAGTTCTACCAAAGTATCGCCCTACTACAACGATATTTCTAACCTCGGTCTCCTACATATTACTGTCATTAAGACCTACATCGTCGGATAATGGTCTTTTTGGCTCCGGTCTCCCGCCAACTACGATCTTTCCAACCTCCATCCCATTGAATATGGTCCTGCCGACCAAAAGAACATGTCTATGTAATTCCCAACATGTAATGTGCTTTATATGATGTACGTTTGTGACATCGAGCCAATACCTTCTCCTAAGGAAGGGTCTCATTTGTAATTGACTGCAAATACTAGTGGATTCATTCAAACTGGGCCAGGCCCCGTGGTTTTTCCCCCTATTCAAGGGTTTCCACGTAAAAACTTTGGTGTCTCTTATGAAAGCTACACCCTCTCTCTTATCTGATTGCGTGCTGGATCTTTGTGCAATGCTAAGACGTTAAACTATTATTTCTCTACCGCCGCGAATACTCCAGGACGCAATAAATATAAAGAATAATGTAGAGCTAAGATCAACAAATAATTTTAAATCAGAAAAAATTATCTTTATTTAGATCATAATTTTTAAAAAAATTAATCAAAGACATATCTTAATATAACTAAATGTAATCTATACTCAATTTTATTTTAGAAGATGACATAAGAAACTAAATTTTAAAGAGCCAAATCTTTTATTATTCTTTACTAATAGAGATATGATCGACTAATTGAGGAGAGATTATTTTGTGCAGAGTGTGAACGTATTCGAAGGTCAATTCGAACGTGTCACGTCATCCAATGCATTGTATATTTTGTGGCATAGCGCATCCGGATTGACCTCCGGACTCGTCCGGACTCCGCACATAATAATTTTCCCTATTTGAGAGCCTTTTGCTCCGCGCCATCAGTTTATGCTTCAATGTATTGAATTATTAATTTCTAACAAAATATTAGAGAAAGCCAAAAAGAAAAGAAGAGTTAAATCCCTTCGTTTCCAACCGAAAAATATCAGAATTCCATTCACAATGAAATGATCTCACTCAAAGTCACATAAAGATCATTCAACCAATTCAAGGGCTTATCACACTCAAAATTAGACAATTTTTACTCATTAAACTCATCATGATTGTGAAACCCCTTAACAAAATAAAGTTAAAATCTTAAACACCGAGATTTCTTTTAGTGTAACGGTTGAAATTCTATTAAAACCTCTAAAATTAAACATACTGCAAGAGCACTTCTAGATGGCTGGCCTCCTAAAAAGCAACACCAATGAGACAAAATCGTAAAACTATTAGACTCAAACAAATAAAATCTCTATAATTAAGAGTTAGACAGATAAAGTCTTCTAAATAACTTCACTCCTAAAACTATTTTTCATCACCCAAGTCAAATAAAGATCCCAAAATAAAGCATTTTGTCTCTGTTAATTCCCCAAACAAACAATCATGCGGATTCTAGTTGATCTTCGGATGACATTCTGCGTCTGGTCCAGTCTCTGCACAGAATAATTTCTCCGACAAAAGGGACCATAATTGATGAGTTTTTTCAAAGAAGCTTCATCGATCATTGCGTGCATCTAATTACGGAGAGAGATGAAACACAGACGAGACGTTCGATGGGCCGAAGAAGAAGGGGAGAAAACAAAACAAAATGTGTTTCGTATGGGGGATGAGGCGTATGAGCTGTACTGCGACGTATCGCTGAAGCTGTGATGGAGTGGAGGGAGAAGAAACTGCATGTGAGGAGCATTGGACTTATCGCAGGATCCACTGCTAGAGTATAGAAAGCGCTGATGGTGTTTGGCTTGGCGTTTTAAGCAAGTAAATAAGGCTTCTGTCATCTGCAACAAGATATGGCCACAGAGTTTTTCTTGTACAGTGCTGAACGTGGTCCTTTCTCTTTTTTTTTTTTTTTTTTGATTTTTTTTTTTGGATTATTTGATATCATGAAATTATTCAGTGCGGACACCGGACGTAGCTCTGTATTCAGTGATGAATCAGAGCGCATCACGTCATCTGGTATATAGAGAGTACACAGCCACTGTACACAGCAAAGGGCGATGTGACGTGCTGTGATTTACCTCTGAATGGCATCCAATGTTCGCACAGAATAATTAATCTCGTTTAGGACAGCTTTCTTATTGTTTTATGAAGCAGTTTTTTATTAGAAAAATTTTTAGTTCAAGAAATTATTGTACGAAAAAATTGGTTTAAAAAATACCAAGAAAGCTATCCCTGATGAAGCATTGGATTTGAAAGAAAAAAAATTTGCTTGAATGTTGAATTAATATAAATTAAAACAATAAATAATAACTATTTTTTTTATCATTATAGATAAATATATATTACATGTTGATATATTAAAGATAAACATAGGAATAGAATTTATTATCTTATCAATGATCTAAAATTTAATGAGCATAATTAACTGAAGTAAAGTGCTATTAATATGATTATAACTAATATCTATGTAAGTTCATCTAATTCAATAATTAATATTATAATTACTATTGGAACGAATAGAACTCAAAAAAATTTATATGATTGGCATGAATTTTGAGGAATATTTGAACCAAAAAATTTTGGAACTAAATTCGGGATTATTCAAACTCCGATTCAACCCACTTATAGTTGAATTGTACAAACCTATTGATATTATAAATAATTCGATTAGACTCCAAATTAGTTCAAATTAAGCGCTTGAATTATGTTTGAAAACTTTTGAACATAAATTAATGAACAAAATAACTTTCAACTATCGTGTATTTACAGTCAAATCAGCAATTAGACGAGATGAATCTAACGAGCATAAGATCATTAGTTTTTGATATTATTAAGACATTCAAATATTTAATAAATGATTTATGATCAAGACATCAATATAAACCATTTGATTGAGTGATTTTAACTTTGGCCAAATTTATTAAAATGTTCATCTCAAAAAAACTATAAATAGAACATTCTTCTCTCCATAAGAGTTTGAAGAGCTGAAAGAATTAAAGCGCACTCTTGCATTTTTTTACTATCATCGCCTACAACACTTGGTGGGATAAAGACCGTCATTAGACAATATTCACTACTGTCTTCAAACTCCTATCAAGATCTAACCCTGTTATTTGATTTTTATTGTCCGACTATGAACATCTGAATTATGTAATCCCTATAACAGAAAAAACATAATTATTTCTACTTCAATTATAAGTAAAGGAGAATTTTTTTGTATCTCCTATTCTGCACTGAATTACTGCAATTTGGTAAAATCTCGTGATTTTTTTCCTTTCTGAATTTTACAGGTAAAAAAAATTTTAAACTAAACTTTCTATAACTTTTTCTATGCGTACTAAATGATTTATATGAAATATTTCATGAAAAGATACTACTGAGTTTTCTTAAATACATTAAGAAAATAAATTATAATTAATCCAATACTCATAATTAATTACAAGCAGCAATAATATTAAAAGATCATTATGCATTAATAAAATAACATTATTAGCTAAGAATAGCAACCTTAAATCAAAATACAACCAAATATTTGTTTAAATTTACAATAATTTATTTTATTCACCATTCAAATAACATAATCTAGCTATATATATATATATAATTAAATTAAAATTTAATTAATTTATCACGTATTATATTCTTAACAAAATAAATTTAATGTTTATAAAACTTAATTGATAAAATTTGAATCAAAATATTCTGATTCTTTTTATTACCAAATAACTACGTAAAAAAATGTTATTTCTAATTAACAATTCTACTTCTACACATTAAACAAGATGAGAAGCTCCAAGCCAGCACATGGGTGTTCCTTAACAAGAATCTATTTCAATAAAAAATTATAAGCTTTAGCAAATTAATAAGTTTGTTTGAGATAGATTTCTCATTACTTTCTAAAATAAATTTTAGTACAAAAAAATTCTTTAAAATAGAGAAATAATAGCGATCAAAAGCTGAACTCAAAGAAGCCTAAAACTTCATTTGGAACAACTTTCTTACTATTTTTTTAAACAGTTTTCTAAGTACAAGAAAAATTTAAGCTAGAATATTTTGTACTAGAAAGCTGCTTTAAAAAGAAATAGGAAAGTCATCTTCGTTTGAGACAGCTTTCTCATTGCTTTCTAAAACAACTTCTTAGTTCAAAATTTTTTTTAACAAAAATATCATTTTAAAAAGCATTAAGAAAGCTATCCCAAACGAACCCTAAGTTTAATCTTATCTTTTGGCTTATAAGAATTTTATGTAGCATGGACAATGTAAGGGAGAAAACTCTCATATAATATTTTCATCTTCATCAAATGAAGAACACTAAACCCTAAATAAAAATTAATAAATAATATGTCAAAAATAACAAAAAAAAAACCATTTTTTTTTAAATTTGAGGATTGCAAGTGTTTTAATTTCAATAAAGATGAATATGTGTTGAAGAAATTTACATAACATGCACATATCCTTTAGTTATAGTTATATTCCATTGTAGCATGCACATGCCATCAACAAGTTATTTTAATAAGTAATCCTTCAGAAGCAAAACGTTAAACCACCACATGCCTTCATCAAACCCTTCCTATGAGCTTTTAGGCCACAAAAACAAAACAAATCTAATAATTCTCACCAAGCCATCTTAACACAATTTCTAATTTTTTATACTATCTATCTTTATGTTAAGTAAAATGTTACCATCTCTCTCTCTCTCTCTCTCTCTCTCTCTCTCTCTCTCTCTCTCTCTCAATTATTAGGTCAGGTGAACTAACGTAACTCTACGTTCGAATGCCAATAACATGTTGTCACGTGGTCTTACTCAATACCGCGCGGCCCGACGACTTGACCCGGGATTGCTATGTTCGCGTATTGCTCGGTATTGCTCTAGGTATCTCTTGACAATAATAAAAAATATCGCTATGTGAAGACCAATACCGATAAAAACTCGGTATTGCTCGGTATTGGTCTTCACATAATGGTATTTCTCGTTATTGTTGACCAATACCGAGCAAATACCGAGCAATACCAAGCAACACGCGAACATAGCAATCCTGTCTCCGTTCCGGGTCGGGGTTATCGGGCCGCATGGTAAATAGTGAGAACGTGTCACTATTTTACTGGCGTCTGAACGTAGAGCTACGTCAAGTGACCGGACCAAAATAAAAGTTCCTCTCTCTCTCTACTCTCTCTCCACGTGAAACCATGGAGTCTTGTCCCTTGGTAGGTTTTATGTTTCATGTTTGTCTGGAATTGTTCAATTAACTAATTTAGATTGAATTGATTAGGGGGCTGCTGCACAACATCTCTGATTGCAGCCTCTGATTCAGGTGATGATTGTGCCTATGGGCTTTTTCTTTTTCATTTGAAGGGATTTTGTTTCTGGTCTAACTTTTATCTGCAATGATTGTGTTTCCTAAATGGTCCTATATTTATATGTAGAAATGTGAATAAAAAAAATTATATTGGTTTGACACTCCTTGAATTCGTTTTAAATCAATGAAATGTAGCAAGTCAACTAGTGGTTATGTTTGCATTATGAAAGGCTTTTAGTTATTTAGATGCAAAAGCAAATCTATTACTAGTTTATATCTTAATAAATTCTTTTTGCACTAGAATGAGAATTCTCTAGGGAATTCACTACTTAGATTTAGACTTCCTTTAGAACGACTTTTTTACTGCTTCTTGAAGCATCTTTTTAGTAAAATATAAAAATTTTTGTATTAAAAAACCGTTTAAAAAGCAATAAGAAAGCTGTCACAAACAAAATCTTATTGTTGAATTTCATCTGACTTATGCTTCGTTTATAATAGCTTTTGATCGCTATTTTTTTATTACTTTTAACAAAAATTTGTGCTACAAAATTATTGTAGACAACCGTAAAAAAAATGTTCCGAATGAAACTTTAATAGAACTAAAAAATTCAACCTAATTATTTCCATATTTCAATCCAGAAAACACATTTTAATCAAAATCAATAAAGAAAACAGTTTGCAGCCTTTTCCATTCCAAGTGATGACCACCCCAATTGTGTTGTTTATTTATATAAAGATCATGAATAGTAGAGGTCCTAGAAGAGAAAGGGGGACACAATAATAAAAGATCCACAGTTCCATGTACTGGAAGTGATAAATGGAGCTACGGGTTTATTTGATTTACAGATAAAAATATATGACTTTAACTTTAAAAGCTATATTCTCCTCAATAAGTTTTTTTTTTTATGTTTCATTTGGGACAGCTTTCAACTATTTTTTAATACAAAAAATTTTTGAACTTACAATTTTATACTAAAAAGCTGTTTTAAAAAACTTTAAAAAAGCTGCCCCAAACAAAATATTTGAATCCATAATGTAATCAGTAGTTGAAGCAGTTTCTGTAATGCTAATACTAAGGAAAATACCCCAAATAATATTTAAAATATACACATAACTCTTATGTAAATTTTGATTATGAAAACATACAGAAAATTCTCATGCCGGGCAATGAAATGCGTATTTTGAAAATAAAGAGGGGGCAATTTGTAATTTACCTTATATTTGGAAAGAATCAACCATGGCCTTGAGAGTTTCCTGAGAAGCTGGCCACTGCTTATCATTTGCGCTTGCTACGAACAAGACGACTGTGCTTCCTTTAGCTGTGGCTTTTGCTAGATTATGTGAACCAGTCAAAGCATATGGAGTCTCCAGCACATAGGAATAGTACTGAGTATTACAAATAAATTAATATCAGAAGCATTCAGCTTGCAGAGAAGTGAAATAATTCATATTATAGATCATCAAAACAGATTAAGATTTTGTTTGAGACAACTTTCTTATTGTTTCTTAAAGCAGCTTTTTAATACAAATTTTTTTAATTTTTATACTAGAAAGCTGCTTTTAGAAGCAATAAGAAAACCGTCTCAAACGAAGCCTAAAACTGGTGAGGAAAACATAAATTATGATCAATAAAGCAGGTGAGTTGAGATTCCCTTAAAAGTTGGTGAAATGGGAATAATTCAAAAATATTAGGGGCATAATGTACCTGGTAACTAGCAGTTAAGGCTGTGCTGGAGCTCAGCTGAGCCAAGTACCATCTAATTCAAATTTGTTTATTTATGTTCTTGTAACTATTTTTTTTGGGACATTTAGGTTAAATGCAAACTCACACACACATCGCATACACAAAGACTCGAACAAAAGACCTCTTAGTTGGAAGCCTAAGCTCTCAACCAACAGGCAAAGGTGAGTTGCGTTGTTCTTGTAATTATGAGGTGGAGAAAGTTAGGGAGGATGAAAAATCAAAAAGGGATTCGAAAAATGACTCTGGATTTTGCTGAAGTGGTCCTAAAGTTCATATATAAATTAGGTATTTCTTACAACGGGCAGGACTTTTAGAAAGCCTGGTGACCTAAAACCCTTTTGTAAAGCTGGAATGTGATGTGCACCGTATTTGTACAACTAAACCAACAAAATGAGTGGAGACGCTGCATCTTGATTTGCAGGATGTGGGGAAAAACATAAGAAATAAGCATGACAGTCACCAAAGATTTAGGCTTCGTTTGGGACGGCTTCGGCTTTCTTACTGCTTCTTAGCAGCTTTCAAGTACAAAATTTTTAATTTTTTGTATTAAAAAACTGCTTTAAAAAACATTAAGAAAGCCGTCCTAAACGAAACCTTAGACAAGATCCAACCAATAAACTTCAACATCTGCAAGAGAACAATTGATATTCGCTTGCAGAGAGACTGCTTCTTTTTTTGAATGAACTAGGACAGCCACCTAGAATTCATGCTCTGCTATCGCATAAAAAACATTATTCTAATCTGATAATCTTTGCTTCTCAAAAAAAAAAAGGAAGTCCAAGAAAGATCTCCTCCCTCCAACTCAACGAAGCTGTCAATCAGCATAACCGGTACTTGTAAAATTAGTCTTTTCTCAGGAAAGAATCAAAGATACAATCAGAATTCAAAGAGTTTTAATTCTCCGATAAAGTTCATCAAATTAGCCACCATAAATAAAACTTTTCCATATATCGACATGAAAATCTTGTCGATCCTCGTTGAATTCCATCAATATATGTTTTGCGTCAAAGGCGTAAAAAAGGCATGGCTCTTCTCAACCTTGTGGGATGATGCGACAATCAGACAAGTGATCCCTTTCATTTTGCCACCACAAGGAAGTCTTCAGGCTCAAGGGATGATAAGGGCAATCTTGTGGCTTGAAACCTCTCCCAGTGGATCATGGGAGAACCAATCCTCTACATCTACAAACCAGGGTACCCGCTCCACCATTTCTTCCAAAGTCACAGGGTTCTTCTTTCTGCTTTAAAAAAAATTACGCATGACCATAGTGAAAGCTGTCTTTGAGAAGCTCGCCTAAGAGTTTATCACCTCCCTAGAACCCTATGTAAATATATACGTAATCCCTGAGGGACTTCTCTCCCCTTCTCCAATTGTAAAGAGGGTCTGAGTGGATTTCAATGCTCACTTGGAAGTGATGAACTCTACCACGAATTGATAGTGCAGACTGTCAAAGGAGGTGATGATGCCGATCAAGAGCTTCACAAATCATCTTCGCCTAGCGTCCTTCGTCACGGCAGCAAAAATCTGACAATGTATGTTTCTTATAAGTAGTGTCAAATCCATAGCATTCTTAAAGCCTCTCATATGCTCAACAGCGTCACTAAGATCCTCACAGTGGTCAAGAGGAAGGATTTTTAGTTTTGGCAAAAGGGCCTCCAACACGAACAAGTTATAAGTTACAAACTCCAATGGCGGTATGATGGTTCCTCCATGGGGTGCTTCCCCCAGAGATTTATTGTCTGAGATGTCAATATAGTTAGAGCAACTTGTCCGATCGGGGTCGGTCAAAAATAGCAACATGAATAATATTTTGAGGAGAAAAAACTAAAGCAGCAAAGGCCGCGACAACACACGTGTGACTAATAAAAAATTTGTTTGCAATAATGTCCATTTTTTCAAACAACTTCTGAAACTATGTCAAGATCCTAACAAAGAATTCTATTGTGAAGAGGCAAGCAACATTCCGATGGCTAGTGCAAAGGTAGCGATCGACAATCAATCCCTATTAAAGTTAGAGCAATCCATCAAACTTATTCATTGGGTTTGAAATTGGGTTTGAAGTATCTCAATGAGAGCACCAAAAGATGTGGATAACAAGAATTGGCACCATAATGAGAATGCCTCAGATGGCTTTGAAGCTCCCCACTAATTCATGTTTACGAGAACACAATTGTAAGAAAAGGAAGCCTTCAATCAGTTTACTCCACTGATGAAGGCATTATACAATAGGCCCGATAAGCTCATAAATAAATAAAAGAATACCAGAATATAAGTGGCTCCAATGATAGCCTACATCCACTATTGGGCACAATAATAACACCAATATGTTTGAAGTTTTCTCCCAAACATATACTCAATATCTCCTCTCTCTGTAACAAAATTTATTCAAATATACAATGGTTCAAAAACTTATTCTTGCATAACAATCAATGAATAAATAGTAGTCTTAACAGCTCTGGAGATGACAATGTGGTTGACGCGTCTAACATGAATGAAGAGATGAACGTGACATTTTGGCACCATGGATGAAGTGGCAAACAATTATTGCAATCCTGGCGAAGGCCGACATCCAACAATCCTAAAACGTTGGTCAACCACTAAACCACTAACTATTGATGGTCAAACAAAGCAAATCAGATAAGGAGTCGTTAAGAGTAAATTATGGACTAGTCGATCTCTCAAATGACTAGATTATCTCTTTCAGATGCGATTCGGATCAAACATGATCCAACTAGATCACATTCGACCCAATAACTCCATTGTATGATCTTGATTGAGTGTGAGAAACGATGTGTCCCAATCATTGACAGCATGTGCACTACAACTAAATGCTTAAATCCACCTAAATCCTAATGATGCCATTTGCATAGGATTATTTTCTGAACAAAAAAAACTGAACATCATGCTTAACGGTGATTATAAACAAACAATATATCAAAATGAATACAATATTATGAATGCATATACATGAAAAAACATACCGTTTGATTGCCATGCTTCTCTATTGATGTTTCAAGGAGCTCATCAGAATCATACGTGTTACCCGTCACAAATGGACCAAGAGAAGCAATCACCTTCTCAGGGCTTCCAATATCTTCAATAGTTGCATTGGGCTTGTTTGTTAGGCGTATTAAAGGTGAAGCGACCACCTGAACTTTGCCTTGCTTTTCATCTTCAAATTTTACCTCCACCCATGGCTCAGCACATTTGGGTTGGCAATAATTTCCAGAAAGTATGTTGGCAATTCTTGTTTGTTTCCAACTTGGCGGAAGAATGAATTCATAGGGTTGCACATTGCCTGCAGATTGCATATTGAAATGCGAATTTCAAAATAAATTACCTTGAAAAAAAAAAAGACCGAAATTACTGAAAAGCTCTAAAAACAAGTGATATATGCTCATATTATAAGAACTTTGCACGTGATATTCGATTCAAGGGAGTATAGAGTCATGCAAATAATTAAAATGCACTAGTCTTTGTCACATTAATCAAATTAAAATTTCCATATCTTATTGCTATATATGAATCTTTTGACCACTTCAAAACAGAAAAATAACATGGATAATGATGTTACATTTTAAATTTATCAAGATTATGGAGCACCATTACCCTTAGTTAAGGTAGGATAATATATCCGTCAAATATAATCAATCATTTGGTGATGTTGAATGGAGAAGGATGTACATCATCATCACCATCGCTAGAGTATAAAAGACCAAACTTAACGAGCTTCAAGCTAGCTTGTGAGCCCATTTATGCTTACAAATTATCCTATAACCCAATAAGTTGTCGCCATTCATAGCGCATCGCAAGCCATTGTCTATCATCGACATCCGCCACTACGCATTGCTAGTTGAGACCACTAACACTGCCAACGACACTGCCCACTACCATCACAATCATCATCCATCATCATTACCTATCATGAACATCCATCACTCATGCATCCATGTTCTGACCAACCCAAAAAGTAATTGAGTATCCAAAGGTTAAACTACCCTTAATGAATAGCCCTGCAAAACTCATTACCGCATCCATGATTTGGAATGTAGGGAGAAGGAACATATAAATATATATTTTGAGATATTTAAGAAACAAACAATGGTTGAATAAAACTTCTCTTAATGGTTTTTAATATCGCATGTACAAGTTTGATCAATGATTCCTTTAAATGTGGCATAAGTGTAACTACCTGATTTTGGGGGAAGTTATCTTATTGTACTAACATAATGCCTAATTTTTGTAATGTGGCATAAGCATGATAATTCACCTAAAATCTTGTTAGTATTTGGATGGCTGATCGTCGTGAAAAATAAAAGGGAATATATTAAAAATTAAGATATGATAGGGAAAAGAAAATTCAAGAAATAATAATATAGTATTCAAGTAAATAAAATAATTAAAAGTACCCTTTTGTTCATTTGGACCCTTGCAAACATCTAACCATCTTCAACGTTCCCTTAAATTTATCCATGAGTTAAACATTTAAACTACAATTATGAATTTTAGAACTACATTTTCTCGTTTATGTATCATTTTTATGATATATGAACATTATTGAAAACCCTTTTTAGAAACTTAGGATAAGTCATGATAATTCACCTAAAATCCTGTTAGTATTTGGATGACTGATCGTCGTGAAAAATAAAAGGGAAATTATTAATAATTAAGATATTATAGGGAAAAGAAAATTCAAAAAATAATAATATAGTATTCAACTAAATAAACAATCTAAAGTATCCTTTTGTACATTTGGACCCTTGCAGGCAAATAACCATCTTCAACGTTCCCTTAAATTTAACAATTTAACCATGAGTTAAACGCTTAAACTATAATTCTGACTTTTAGAACTACATTTTTTCGTTTATGTATCATTTTTATGATCTATGACCATTATTGTAAAGCTCTAAAGTCCAAACCAGTTTAATCAGCCAATATTTTTCAAGAATATTTTAGCTGTTGCTAAATAACATGTTGTTAAACTGTTATTTTGCCCAAGTCAACCGCGTGTCAAGTGACAGGAACAACATATCATTCTACCTCATGTCCTTAACTTGCCCCGCCATTTAGGTTTAGTATTCTGCAATTCTATCAACACCAGAAATGTTTAACTTGTTATATAAAACAAATATTGGCATACTTTGCCAACACTAAACAACCAACAATTTCAGGTAACTACAGCTTTGTTTACAGCCCTACAACCTCCTCCACTTAAGTTCCTTATCACATGGAGAATCAGTACAAACATGCTAATCCCTACTAATACATTGTTACCCTGAATCGCCAGTTTAAACCGCGTGACTCACATTACTGGAATCTCCATGATTGACAGTAGCTGCAAACTTGAAGATCTCAAAGGCTAATAACTCTTTCTATCAGCTCCAAAACAGTCCGTGATACACAAAACTTTGCGTAAATTTCATCATCGAGCCTCTAAACCCAAGAAAGATGCCCTCTCTGTCATGCACTTCATATTCACAACAGTGGTTGACAAACTGCTATATAATTTGATTGGATTGAATGGAAGTGAAAGAAAATAAATAAAATTTAAATGATTCATGCATTGATTAAGAACTATAGCCTTGAAATTAATGTGTTGAACATCTGTATGTTAACAGCAACGAATGCGTATCGGACAACCACCATAATTTAAAGATTTCGATCAATAGCTCACGTAACATTAGCGAGCGACGGCGACGCACCTCAATATTAAAAAACTTGTAATCATAATAAAATTCAAATCACCATAAAAGCAAAACGATAGAATATAAAAATTACAGAAGATAATACCGGCACGGAGTGCAGGAGTATCACTGGGACTGGCCCTAAAGAGAACAAAAGATGGGTCCGACGAGAACAGGGGAAGATAAGACCCAACCTCGACCTCCCTCGCCTTCGAATCCGAAGACTTAATCAATAATACGGATGCCAGAGCGATTCCCCTGAGGAAATCCCTCCTTCCAGCCGCCGGAGAGCTTAGTAGCCCGCGATATGAAATGTTCGGAATAGATAAGGAGATGACTCCGGTGGAGACTTCCGGCTGATGCAGCGGGTGAAAGGAGGACACCCCAGAAGAGGAAAAAAGAGATGAGACGCGAACGGCCGACGCAGTCACCATTGATGGGAGCTCAAGCTTGCAATCCATAAACCATCCCGCCCACTACTTTATTATCCAAGATTTTCTTTTCCCTTTCCAAATAAGTTGGAATTTTATTACTTCAAATGATTTTCCAATTGAACTTCTTAAAGGTTTAGTCAATTTTAAATATTCAAATCTTAATTAACTTTCAAGTTAGGTTAATTAAATTCGATTATAGCAAATGGATTATCCAAAAAAAAATAGTGATTACTTTTTTAAAATTTTATGAATATAAGATGTTATCCTTCTTTAGAGACATTATGATAAAAAATATTAGCTAATAATTTTACCTAAGAAAATTTATTTCAAAATTATATATTTGGAGCAATAAAAATTCTAATAATTAGTTTTTCTTTTATTATTATTTATCATATATACAATAGTTTTAGAATATTTGGAATAATAAATCCAAATTTTAGCTTAAATAATATATATTAAAAAGTATATCAAGTAGTGTTTATTAAAATTTATAATTTTTATATCTCCCAAAAAAATCACTTGATCAACGCAGATCTCGAGGTAATATTTGAATTTAAAACTCATGAAATCAATTTTAATATCATCAAAACTCTGACTTCAACAAACTTATAATCAAATTGAATATGTTGATGAAAAAAATCATTAACATCACAAATGATCCTTTGAGTATAAACAAACCCAAATCAAATATTTGAAACGTATTTGAAAGTTTTATAATATTAATTGAAGGACTAAATAGTCTTCAAATATTATGTGCTTTTAGCCAAATAGAGTAGCTCAATGAGCATAATCTAATGAATTCAAAATAACTCAATTATGAGGTCATTTAAATACTAGAACATTGAATAAATGATCTATGATTAAGGGGATCGATACAGCCTCTTCGATGGAGTAATTTGAGATCTTGCCAAATTTATTAAAGTATTCCTCTTAAAAAAATTATCAAACAAGGCTATATTTTTCATATAAATTAAGCTCGGAAGTTTAGAGATCTTAAGAGTTATATTGCGTTTCCAGAATATCACCCTGATGATTGCTACTATCAGTTGGGACCATTGAAAGTGGATACCCAACCTATGTTATAATGTTGTTGATTAACTAACATAGTATGATCATCTCCACCCTCCATTAACTATTTTGCAATCACAATAAAAGGAATCAAACAATCAATCACAATAAAAGGAATCAAACAATTGATCTCAATTATATAAGATTGTCTTCCAAGAAGAGTAGAATATTATACTTTCAATTATATAATGAACTATTGCAACTGAGTCAAGCCTTGTTATTTTTCCAGTTTTTATACTTCATGCGCAAAAACTATAGTATCTCTTATAACTTCTATTTTATGCGCACGGGATCATTGTATTAAATTATTATTTTAAATACTCAACAATCATAAATTTTCTATCATGTAACAAGTTGGTTTGCTTGTGAAAAAATATTACCAACATATTACGAATATTTTTTTAGTGGCTAACAATTAATCAGTCAATCAATAACAACACAATTTAGTTATTGTAGGTTACACAAGACTCACTTTGGAGGATCTCAAATCTAGGATAAAAGAAATTCAAGTTCAAATACTTCAAACTCTTGGAGGATGCTATCAACAAAAAACTATGTTGCCACTCATGTAGTACAATTGTGTTCTCCCACCATAAAATCAACACCAATTTGGGGTTGATCTATTTTGATGTCACTCATATAGTACCTCCTTTTCATACTTTTTATCGATATAGTCAGGCTTTTGTCAAACAATTGATTGTCCATCGGAAGATCATTAAATTTGAGACCATCCCCTATTAAATTTGAGATCGTCTAAACTCTAATTTTAGCAAACTTATAGTTGAATTGAGTATCACATAAGATGGACCCAACAATATCAAAAGTGGTCCAATCCAAGCCTGAATGAGCCTAAGTCAAGCACCTAAAGTATAATTGGAAACTTCATGATCCTAATTGGATGGTCAAATATTCTTCAAAATTGGCATGCGTATGGTTAAATTGAGCATCTTGATGAGACAAATTCGATGAACCCTAGTTTGCTTAAATCTGACATCATTAAGGTACTTAAATGTTGAATAAATTGTCTATTAACAATAGAATCAATATGTGTTATCTAATGGAGCATTTTTTTTTTTTTTGGATATATATTACAAGGTATGCATCTTTAAAAATCTTTAAATTAACCCTCACTTTTTTGCATCGTTATGTGAGAGTGAGAGGAGCTTGGTCTTGGCTCTAAAGATGTCAAAACACCACTAGTGCACCATTGCTAGATCCCCATATCATCATCATCATTGGGCATCATTGGGCCATTGTCCAATCATCAATAATAAACCAACGACCAACCGCCACCATCAGACAAATGTCTGATATCACCATTGGAATATTGTTTGACCCCGCCATCTAATCGAGCAACCACATTATCACTATTGTCGACATATCGCATGATCATCATCATTGCATCATGATCCTTCAACCCAAATTGCATAACTACAACCCTCCAATCATGACCCAACCCAACATCAATATCCTAACGAGACATATTATATAAGATATATGATAGAGCATTTACCCAATATCTTTTATTTGAGAGAATTTCTTTTTCATCATTAAATTTAGATATTATAACTACTAAAAGCATCAACAAATAGAAATTTAACATAATATTTCTCAGTACATATGGATGTTTTAGATACATTCACATCAAAATGTTTTATATAATAATTATGGTTCTTTAATTATCTCAACAAAATACAATTTCTCCATGATTATAAATAAATCATCTATAAAATAAAACAAAAAGTAATAGTAATTGTAACCCTGATCTCACTCTGTTGGGGCCACACATAAAGTGAGCAGACGATTCGATAGGTTATATAGAAACTATAACCATGTTCAATGTACAAAAATAAAACTTTTTGTAAATCTTAAATAACATGGAATTTTCTATCAAGTTGCTATAATGTCATCTAACCACTACAAAAGAAGTCATTACACCTCCAACCACCATTGCTCAACTACAGTCCTTTGACCACATTCACCTGACTATTTTTCTCTAGCCATCGACATCAAACTACAATCCTCTGACCATCGATGCCTAAGTATGGTCCTCTTACTACCATCGGTCAACCACATTCATCTTATCACCATTGTCAAACTACTACCATTATAATCATCATCACTTGATTATAATCCTTTTGACCACTGTTTCTAATAACCTAAATGTAAGAAATGAATTTATTTGAAAAATATAAAATTTTTGAAGTTGAGTGTTATGGTACTAAGACACTAATAGTATACACACACACACACACACACACACACACCCCCACTACCTCCATCACTTGTTATTGAGCTAGGAAGAAATTAAAAGAGGGGAGGAGAAAGGAGACAGTAAGACCTTTGGGTCATATTAGCCCTTCATTCCTATTTCGAATTTTATTTTATTCGTTATAAGTGATTAATCTCTTACTCGTATTTTTAATAGCTTTGATTTCTACGAACTTTATCTCTCTTAAATCTATCAAAAATATAATATCCCCTGATCTCGTAAGCTATCACCATTTATTTTTTTAAATGTTATATATTTGATTATTCTAAATGATTTTATATGATTTTATTGCATTTTGACTAATTAAATATGTATATATGAATTTTTTATATAAATGAATAGGAAAAAATGTATACTAAAAATGGAATATGCTAATATGAGTGATATATACTAGAATGTACTACCAATATTGAAGAAATGATGTATTGGTTGATATCAAATATATGATATGACAACCCCACATGATACTTTATTGATTCATATTATTCACTAATGGGAGTTATAAGGAGCTGAAAACTGACTGAGAGTTATAAGGAGTCGGGGTGACTGATTCACAATGAGAGTTATAAGAAGTATACTAATTAGAACTGATAAGAAGCGACTGGTTGAGATTCAAAAGTACATAAGTAAAATACTCTCATATGAATATCTGATAGAACACTTATTTATTGATATAATTGATTGCACGTGATGCTCGCAAACTCAAGATACCCTAATCTTAAAGTCAGATATTAATACTGATATTGAATTTGTTATTAATGTTGATTATTGATATTGATACTGATTAATAATATTGATACTTATATTGAAATTGATTACTATTTTTTTATATTGATATTGATTAATAATATTTTTATTGTCACCGATACAATTTTATTACTAATACTAAATATTGTTATTAATTTTGTGATTGTAATTGATAGATTGATGTGAGCTGAATGGATGATAAAATTGAATGGAATTGATTGAGCGATAAAGATCAATTGATTAACTGATTGATTAGAGTTTGTGATGGAAGAATGAAACATAACTAACTGAGGTATGATATGTTATGGAAAGATTATTGATACATATAATTGATATAGATATATTGATGTATATATTTCTTTATATAATTTATAACATATTATTCTCTTTTATCATGCATTGATTTCAGTTGTAAGATTTTGATTACTTACTGAGTTATGTGCTTGTTGCGTCCAAGAATATTCGTGACAATAGAGAAAAATGAAGTTTAACGTCTTAGCATTGTACGAAGATCCAGCACGCAAGTAGAAAGAGAGAGATCAAGACACATAATTTTTTTACGTGGAAAACTCGAAGAGGGAAAAACCACGGGGCCTCGCCCACGTAAAAATATTCCACTAAACTTGAGTGAATTACAATGGTTGACCCGTCCCTCGATTTAGAGGTGGTCAGATTACATTAATTTGAAGAGCTAGTCAAAGGACCGATGAC